CAAAGCTTGACCAATGCAAATAATTAAATAAACTATATTTAGCATAAGGACTATGATCATTTCTAGAAACAATTTAATTATTGAAATATGTTTAGTATTCTAAAGAGGGAATACATATATATGTAATAATAATCAAACCTGGATTTATATATTCCTCCCACCAAGATTTTTAAATGTAGGACTATATATGATCCACAATTGTAATCTTCTAATATCTCAATCAAATAATACAAATAATATTTGTCATTAGCTAGTTCTAATCTTGTAAACGAGAGTCGAGTTCGAGCTCGAGCTCGAGCTCGAGTCCTTAACAAGAAGAGCCAGAAATCGAGCTCCAGCTCAACTCGTTTATCACTATTAACGAGTTGAGTTCGAGCTTTAACAAACAGATCTCAAGTTTTAACGAGCTGAATATTAAAAAAATCATATAAAATTTCTCTTATCGAGTTGAGCTTTAACCAAACAAGCTTTAATTGAGCTCGAGCTCAAATCGAACTCGTTTAATTTAACAGTAAATGTTACTAGATAGTTCTAACTTCTAAATGTTAAACACATCCTCCTCTCATAGTAAATAAATATATATATATACATATATATATATATATATAATTCCATTATGAAATGTCATATTTATATATCATTATTTTTTAACAAGAATTTATACATGACATATATGAAAGTAATTCGAAAAAGCATACCAACCTAGCACAAATAAATATTATGCCAACTTTTGCCAACAAATTTGTTTTGATGATAGGCATGGTAACATGTGGCAAAATTTAAATACACCTGTGTGTTCTACACATTTCTGATAATAACTCAGACTAATCATTCAGTGAGCCCAAACAAAAGATGGGCCCTACGACTACAACAGTCCAGATCAATTAGGGCATGGGGCCCATGTCCGGTAGGTCCAACAAAACCCACCACCGATCTTCATGGCGCCAGCTAATTGCCTAGCTTATATTTATCCTAATACTGTTTCACCCAAAAAACGAGGATCAAGCTGATTTCCGGCATGTGGGGCCCACCACCTGAGACAACACCTGGAAGCTGATAAGGTATGGGCCCCCCACACGGCCCAATTACCCGAGCCCATCCCGCTGGAGCGTAGAAGGTCAGTCACTAACAATAATAGCATGCAGTCAAAAATAGAATTACCATACCGTCAC